TCCCCATGCCCTTTCCAAGGCGAAGCCAAGTGGCCCAGGCAACGAGCCTATCTTCATGGACCCAGTTGGGACAGAGGACAACTCCTCCCAGCCGCAATCTTCATCAATGAGGAGCATGATTATTTGGAAACCCCATTGGGAGACCACAAAGTTCCGAGTGACATCATGACAGCTCAACTTCGAGCCTGTGACGTTTGCTTCAAGCAGAAGCAACGCTGGATCACTCCGAATGGCAAGCCCTCGTCTTCGGTGGCTTGGCTTAAATCCTTTTATCGACAAAAAGCTGGACTTTGACTACATTTTCTCTCAGGACCTTGGCGTCTCCTACCACCTGTGCCTCGATGCTGACCATGGTCACTACCTTTGACGATGCCATGGGCACCGTGGAGTTCTCAGCGCTGCGGGTGGCTCAGGAGGAGACAGTGTACAACACCATCCATGATCACAAATTCCATGACAACTGGAATGGCAAAGGCTGCCTGGGCTGGATTTTCTTGACGCCAACATCCTGGTGGACAACCTCAACTTGTGCTACAGTCTTGTGAGAATTTCATCATATGAGGCAGCTGGCCATGAAAGCCTCACTCTGCCTGTTGGGAAGCTGGAGGACCCTTGGCGGAGAAGTGATCGGTGGGGTCCCTTTTTGCACACCGGCGGTGGTTTTACCTTCTGCTCCCTGGTCTGGCTACTATATTTCCTGGACAACAAGCTGGAGGTTGACCGCATTCCAACTTTCGTCCCCGGCGTCTTCTACCAATTGGGCTTGGAGGACCCGATGGACACCATTGCACAGCCATCAAAGACGATGACACATGGTGGGTCTACGACGACGTCATCGAACCGGTTAAGTTCTCAGCACTCCCACGGGTGGCACCAGAAAACTGAAGCCTGGTGTGGTTGGGCTGCACATCACATGGAGAAGCTGGGGGGGGTCTCTCCTCTTTTGGAGGATTCCCCCCTCCTGTCCGAACAGGAGACAAAGCGTCACATCTACCCGACCACAGGCATGGGCAGTGCTTGCAATGATTGGAACCACTGGACACCAACATCCTGGTTGACAATCCCAGCCTTAGCCAGGCTGGTGAAGAAGTGCATCATGGATGGCAGCTGGCCACGGGACATAGCTCTTCACCTCCAGGTGGCGCGCAACTCAGGGTGGGACGATGCTGGCCCCTTGGCGAAATATGTGCAGTGAGCTTCATTTCCTGTGCACACCCCTTGGTGGTGCGCCTGCCAGCCATTTCACAGCATTGGCCTCTATGAGGATCATTGCTGTCCGTGCTAGAGAAAGTTTTCTTTTTCCATTTGGAGTTGCGGTCACTCAGGAGGACCGGGCTTTTCTGGCTCGGCTCCTTGAACGCACTCTCAATGTCGAGGCTTCAGGCCTTTCGGGGCGCCAGGTGGGACTAATCGGGTCCACGCAATCATCGACTGATGAGTGTATGAAAGAAAGATGATGATGATGATGATGATGATGATGACGTGATAGTAGCGATGATGATGCAGAATATATTGGAAGATGATGTGAGCAAATGTCCTTTGGAAGAAACGCTTCGCAGGTGCTTTCGGGAAAAAAGTGCTGCGCCTGCCGCCTGCCACGCAAAATCACACCGGCAGAGCGGCGGAGCCCACAGAACGCCAGGGCGTACATCCAACCCCTTGGAGAGCACCAAGTGCTACGCCTGCCACGCAAATCACACCAGGGTGTTCAGAGCGCAGCAGGTGCTTTCCAAAGTGTTCATTGATCGCTGCTGTGAAGAAACACCAAAATCCAAAGAGCACCCTGGCGAGCGCGCCAATTTTTGTGTGTGTCATCATAACGCCTGCATCTGTGCTCTAGCATGCGCAGTGTTGCGTTGCAAAGGGTAACTGCAAAGCTGCTTTCCAACCCACAATAAATTGGCTGTGGCCACAAGATCATTCTTGAAGCAACTGATCTCCTCTTGACCGCTTCTGACTTGTGCTGAGCAACTCTGTTCAATGAAAAGGCCGCAGATTGAAGTGAAAAAAAGTGTCAAGAAACTTTTCCGGCACCTCGTCTACGTCGAAGGCGACTTCCTGGGCGTCTCTCTCTCTCTCTGCGTCTCTGCGTCTCTCTTCTCTCTTCTCTCTCCTCTCTCCTCTCTCTTCTCTCTCCTCCCTCTCTCTCTCTCTAAAACACACCGAGCCGTGTCGCAGGGTTAGCGTTGACTAGGGCACGCGTCACGCATCAATGCACAAGAGCCCACTGCTTTCACCACTCCACGCACCACCACACTTCACACACATTTCACAGCAGCACGAAGTCCATCCCAAATCGCTTCTGTTGAAACTTCCCTCCCTGGCCCCGAAGGATGAAACTGCAACTGAAATGTGCCGCCCAAGCTCAGTCCCATCTGACCGCGCAGATCGTGCGCCCTTCAATCGTGATCGCGCAAAGCGGTTGATGAAGTGGCCTTCAGCCAACAGTCTAACTTCAATGCCCACAATCCATTTTCATGCTCCAGGGACATTTAATACCAAAAATGTTTGGGGATTGAGGCAGTGCACAGTGCTGGCATGAAACCTTGTGCGCCAACCATCACAACCAAGCTGCTCATTGAACCTCAGCCCAAGTTCTGAGGGAAAAGAGGCTGGCCCACGGATATCAAATAGGGGAAAGGGATGGCAGGATATTTCGCCATGGCAAGTCTCGCCACGCCAAATCTTTACATATCTCGCAGTGGCGAGGCTTTACACATCTTGCCATGGCGAGGTTTTGGACGTCTCGCCATGGCGAGGTTTTGGATGTCTCGCCACAGCGAGGTTTTGGATATCTCACCATGGCGAGGTTTTGGATATCTTGCTATGGCGATATTTTTTTGTGTCTGCATGGCTAGGACCTCTGAAAAGAGCTAGCCATAGAGAAGGTTTCATGGATAGCAATTCTAAAGAGAGCCCGCCGTAGTCAATGATTCAACTCTGAAAGGAAACTTCCCAAGAAAGGAGTCTATGGCTAGCACCTCTGAGAGAAGCTAACCATCAGGAACTTAAAATGAGAGCGTTAAGAAATCCTTTGGCGTGCTAGGATGCCCGAAGGAAACTATTGAGTCACCAATCAAACCCAACCATGCAGGTGGACAAGTTATCTGAACGGTCAATGTCTAAAGCGAGGCTATGGCAAGCACCTCTCAGAGGTCCTAGCCCTAGCCATCCCTTTCCCCTGTTTGATGATGGGCTGCACTGCGCCGTGAGCCAGCCTTTTCTCTCAGAACTTGGGCTGAGGTTAAATTACCATTTGGTTATGATGATTGGTGTAGAAGGTTTCATGCTTGCACTGTGCATTGCCTTTATCGTCAAAGATCCTTTGGTGTGAAACATCCTTGGGCCCTGGAGCATGAAAATGGATTCCATGCTTTCACAAAAATAACGAATTGAAGGAGGGAGGGGTTGTTCGTAAACGCTTTATAAATTGGCATCGAGCCTGAAAATGGCCCTGCTATTCTGCTTGCCCCACTGATGCAAAAGTTGCATTCTTGTAGCATGGCTGCGGCTGTGATGCAACAAGCGCACGTGAGTGGAGATGTCGTCGTTGGAACCCGAAAAGCGGAAGAACGATCTTACAGGAAGCAAATTACCCACTGGATGTCTTTTTGTTTTTGGCCCCCCTTGCAACAACTGCGCCTCGCCACCGCCAGGAAACGCAGCCCTGGTTGGGAGCAGCACCTCCGGGCACCAAACAAGGCATTTCACTGGAACACATGTTGAACGAGCGGGCCTCGCCCTGGCATATTTCGTACCAACTGGGGGTGGCAAAATGACACAGGCACAGGAGTGCGTGGTGGCTTGCCAAGGTTTTCGCCCAAGCAGTCTGCGGACCGATGTCGTGTGCCTGTTAACCTCAGTCTGACCCAACCCGGTTCAGGGAGACCTTACGCTCAACCCTCAACTCAGGAAACCACAGGTCGTGGGTTCTAATAGGTCCAGGCGCAATGTTTTGGAGCGGGCTTTGAGGCACGCCAGGCATGCAGCATCGACATGTCCTTGCAGGGGGTGGCTTGTTGAGATCACGAAGGCCGACCCGACTGGCTGTTCCGACATTCCGAGCAAGCTTGCAAAGTCTCCAACAAGAAGCTGGCGACATAACCAACTCGGAATTGTCTTGAAAGCATTTGAACTGTGTCGGACATCTTCCTGACAGTGGTTGGGTCACGCCAAGGCCCTGACATAACTGCCATCTTGCAAAGCTTTCAGCCAAGCAGGGAATCGCAGAGCTGCTTGTGCAGATAGCCTCAGTTCTTCCATCTCAAGGCTAGCGGCTAGAAGCTAGCAGCCAAAAAGAACTGCAGCATGTCTTGAAGCAGCTTCTGATGGCCAAACTCGAGAGAAGAAAGGCCCGACTCTTTCACAAAAGTGTTACTGTTGATTGCCTCGTGTGTCCACCGAGGTGCATGTCCAGCGCTTTCCGTATTTCCAAAGGAGGATCGCCCCCCTCAAGCATGTAGATGTCAACAATACTGTCCTGCAAGAAAGAAGCGGGCATCTGGAAGCTGCACTCTTTCTCCAATAGCCCAACGAGGTTTGTGTGCCCAGTGAATGTCAAAGGCAAGTTGTGTGCAGCAGTCCATCTTCTTTCCTCCAAGAACTGAAGGCAGTTCCTGTTTCTTCAGTTTTCTTTCTTTTGCCGTTCAGCCCAAAAAAGCTTGGATTTGGAGCACCCACGTGTGAGAAAAGTAGTTAACATAGCAACTTTGAACATCAATCACTCGGGAAGTGGTTGAGACTAGGAGACCGGACACACAAGACCCCAAGCCGAACAAGTTCACACAGCATGAAATTGCATGACGGCCAAAAAGGGGGAAGTATACATATACAGCTGTGCTTGACCGAGGGCTTTCAGCGAGCTGCACACAAGCAAGCCCTTTGGCAGTCCTCACCAAGAAGGCCTTGGAATGATCGCAATTACTGGATTGCGATCAGGCGGCGTGCCACGGCCAAACAGTGTCAAATGCTTCTCATCCATCGTCAGTCTGCTTCTCAGATTAAATCTTGCGCGGAGCCGAGGTGCTGGCACCTCCACATGGGCCGCCCAGCAAAGCCATCTCCAAGGGCCAATGTGGCAGTTGCAAGGTGGTGCGCACCGATGCGCAGGCCCAGGGCGTCGCCGGTGGTTGACCCAAGGCTGCGCTGGCCTTGGCTCTAAGAGGTTCGAAGCAGTTCAGGCTGTTTGTGCTCAATATTGGGGTCTCATCATCTGGAGGTCTTACTGGAGGTGCCCGAGCAACTGACTGGCAGGTTCAAACACTAATATCTCGACATGCAGGGAAAAGGGCAGTAGCCTGAAAAGTTTCCATATCATGCGAAGCCCCCTTTCGCGAAATAAAACCCTCCAGTTTCTTTTTTTTGAGAAAAGGAACTGATGGTGGGTGAAAGGGGCAGTGGTCGGTAGCTGCCTTCCGGATATCTCTATCTTCTGACAGCTCCAGGCGAATACACCCTCACTTCTGGTCGTCCCTGAGAAGCCGCACAAGTCAAAACCCTTCGCTGTCCTGTTGGACAACTGTGACAGTTGAATTGGCATGTGCTATCAGAAGCCTTGAAGGACGCAGGCCCAGAACAGTCTGCCAGGCGACGCCAGCATCGATGAGAAGGTCAAAGTGAATATCCTGCTCAGAGTTGCTGAGAAAACAGGAGTGTATATTGTATAGCGGGCATCATGCACACGTGATACCTGTAGCACGTTTACAAGCGGCAAACTGCTTTGGGGTGTTTGGTCCGTCGGACAGGTCCAACACAATTGTGGGCAAAACCATTTGCTACAAACCAAACGTACATAGTTCATCAAATTCAGAAACAAGGTGCAATGTGCGGACCTAGGAAACTCGATCAGGTTTCATGCACTTACAGTATGTGGAGAGTGCATGTGGACAGTGGAGGGCGCCAATTTATCCCTTCCTTCGCAAAGGCCGGAAGGTCGTCCAAAGCAAACTGTGGGATGCCATGCACACCTAAATGCAAACGGAAGTTGGACAAATGGTTTCATGGGCCAAGGCCGAGGCACTGAGTGCCCAAATTGACGGTGTCAAGCTTTTGAGTCTAGACTGGTCCCCCGAAAGCTGGTCTTTGCGTGTGCTTGCCTCTGCCAAAAGATTGTGCAGCTGTGGTGGCGACGAGGCATAAGGTGAGCATAAATGTATCAAATCCGGATGCTTATCACAGCTTAGCTTTTGACATTATGACATGCAGGCCCAATATGTATATATATATATATGTTTATTTAACCTAAGCCTAATTTTTATGGAAGGTCAAGCGCACTCGGTGCGAGACCAGTTTGGCCAAGCAACGGCACAGCTCCTGAACCTCTGATGTCAAGTCCCAAATGTCCAAGTCGAGTGCCACCAGCTTCACTATCATCTTCTCCTCCAGCAGGTGCTGCAAATAAGCCACGCTGTGTGGAGTCCCAGCAATGAGGCCGATGCTTTGGAAGGACAAGGCGTCAAGCTCCTGCAGACACAACTCAGAGGGCTCCAAAAGCTGAGGAAGTTCATGTCCGGTCTGGAGTTGTGGCTCCAAACACTTAGCTGGAAGTTGAAAACCATCAAGAAGTCGGTGGTTAGGTTTTGAATGCCAGCCAGCAGGCTACAAGAATCGCAGGAGTTGAGTAGAGTTAGGCTGGCTGGCTCATCTCACCTTAGGCTGCAAACCAAGTCTCGGGCAGAATGGCGATCTTCACCGCTCCGCCCTGGTACGAAGAGGCCATTTCAAATGCGGCCTGCACTTTCCTGGGCTATCGTGTGAATGCAATATGTACCCTCAATTCATGTGGTGCAAATGCTGGTTTCAGGTTTGAACTAATAAGCATCTTGGAAGTCGTGTCAGCAGTCCCGCCAGCAACGCACTTCATGAGACAGCTCTCCACAAACACAGAAACAAATAAGGAGCCTTCAACAATGCTGATGGAATGCGAACTTCATCCAATGTTGCGGCGGGTCGATATGCCCATGTAACTCGGTGTGCAAACCGCTACACTGTGTCAGGCATCTCTAAAGGCATCCGGTGTGTAACAATCTGCGCGCATCTTTCTCGGAGCCTGGGTGTGCCGTCAAAGAAAGGGAGGGTCGAAGTGTTGCCATGCCCTCCAAACAGAGAAATTACAAATGTCAGGTGTCAATGCCTTGAGTGGTCTAAAGCCCTCTAGCTTCGTCTAAGAATGAGCTGGCCGCCCATGGCCAAACGAAAATAACCAACTGTTGAGGAATACGTTTTGAAATTCTCTCCCAGTGTGACACATCGCCAAGTTCTGATGCCCTTACCGACTCTGACTCTTAACCCAAGGAAAGGGAGTAGCCTTCAATCCACCCGTATGGGCTTCTGCTGTTCTAGGTTAAGGTGAAAGCTGGCACACAAGTTCACCAGAATGTGGTCCCTGAGCCAGGCCACTGCTCAGAGTGCACAAGCAAATTCAGGCAAGCCTGGAGCGTCTGGTTTGCACGCCGGGCGTTCAAGATGCTCAGCCTCGGGCACGGAGGTGTGCTCTAAAGGGCTCAGCTGCTGGGCACCTCAGGGGACCTGGTCGAAATAGGTGCGTGTGGTCTTCTACTTATCGATCAAGTCCAGGGTTTGGCTGCCACTGCTTTTGAGCAGCCTACTCAAACATTCCAAAGCCAATCGGGCTCAAAAGCTCCAATTGCTGGTGAACGATGGCAATGGAGTACAGCCAAGATGGAGGCGGAAGATCAATCTGCGGTCCCGCATGTGTTCACACAGGTGATGCTGGTGGTTCATGCCCTGCAGGATCTTGCACTCATTAAAGTGTGAATGCATTTCGGTTATTTGGGATTTGTAGTGAGCAATGGGCTCTATCTGGGGGAAAGTCCAGTGGCAGTGGCGCCCCCACCATTGCATGATTTGACGAGCTCCGTCCAGTTCATCATTTGTCTTCCAACCGAGAAACTCCTTGGTCCTCGCCACATGAGGGTTGTATTGCAAAAAGTCCACCTCAAGGTTCAAAAGAAAAGCAATTCCTAGTATGAAAACCTGATCATGCACACTGCTGTTTTGCATTCCTATGAAGCCACTGAAGAGCTCCAAAAAAAAACTTGTTTCTCTGCTCCTCAAAAGGCCACCTCAGGGATGCCCACGAGGACGACTTGTGCTGCCAAACCTGCCACCTTGCAGTCTGGTTGGGGTTGCCAAGATCTTTCTCGTAAAAACCGCAACCCTTTCCCTGCTTGCATCCAACAAACTCTTGAGTTTGGCCGGGCCGGGCCCTCGATCAAACGCATGCCATTGCCATCAAAGTACAAGCTTGCGCACTGCTTCTCTCCCCAGCCTGCAAGGCTGTCTTGAAGCTCCTAGGCTGGGCCAAAGCATCAAAGGCAAGTTTTTGTCCTTTTTTTGCCCCAGGGGTCCGCCACGTGTGTATGGACTTGGCTTGGGTTTGTTCCTTCACTTCCTACAGATTCCAAGTTCCAGCAGATTTGTCCTCAGGTGGACATTGTCCTGGTCAACGCCGGCTGTCTAGTCAAGCGGGTGAGGACACCCGGTCTTCTGATGACCTCAAGCCCCTCAGATCTCAGATCAACCAGGCGTCTGCTCTGTGCCCGCGCAATCCAGCACCAGTTCACACCCCTTTCGGCCCACCAGCTGCCGCAACTCAGCGGTGGCCAGCTGAGTACAGTGTGCACTGCGGGCGCCCAGGCGCAAGGACATGGTGCGGCCTTTGGTCGACTTCCGGTGGAACATAACAGTCCGCTTTCCTTTGCATGGTCCTGCATTTGATGCATTCTCTCTTACTTTTTGGTCGGACCTACTGGCAGGCAAACGCGGCTGTCCCAAACTACAGGAACAAGATCCTCAATTGAAACTGTGGTTCGTGCACTTCCTCCATGAACCTTTCTAGAGTGCACAAATCAAGAAGTGCACCATGAAATCCAAAAGGGTGACAAGCACAAAACGATGTTTGGCTCAAGGATCAAAAAAACGCGAAGGCGCCCCACACCCATTTTCATAACCACAGGTTATGAACCCAAGGTTTTCCCTTTGGGCTGAAGAGAGGATGGAGCAGCGGATGGGCTCGGTCCTGTTGGCAGCCTTGCTGGAGGTGGTGAGACGGGACATTGTGTGGCCACTACGGCGACAAGGAGGTCACTGACCTCAAACCAAAGTGGCCAAGATTGCAGCCTTGGTAGGGGGACTAGCCGGTGTCTTGACATGCCGGCCATGTGGGACTGCTGGTAGAGCTGCGCAAGGCGGTTGGAGTTATGGTAGCTAGCTTGGCAACCAGCTGGAAAGCCGGCGGTGATTTGAGGAAGAGAGCCACTGGGCCTTCAAGAACAGAGTATTATGGAGATCGACTGTGTGGACATCAAGATCAGGTGAGGGAAAATGAGCCCAGAGCGACGGCTCAGAGGACGAGCCAATTTTCGAACCTAGCCCTGAGGGCTCCCGTGATTTTGCGGTCGACCTTTGCCATGGCAGCAAGCGGCCGCGGTTGGCGGCGATGAAGGCTCCGGGACCAGCGCCTGGCCAGGGACCGCCTTGGACCTGGAGATCTTTTGCTTTGCCGCCTCAAGATCGATGGGGCAGATTGGAGGATGGTTGGTGGGTGAGACATCATGATGTCAAGCCACGGGTGAGACCCTTTCACCCCGTCCACAGGAAGACGCACTTCGACAGTGGCCAGGTGCAGAGCCGGCGGATCACCGTGATCTGGTGCCATGAAAAGCGGGTGGTCCGTGATGATGACTGGAGGACAATGACGCAACCTCCGGTGAGTGACACCTGGGTGGGCTACACTGCACCTTTTTCAAGGAGATTCCACCCGGCACAGAGTGCGGGACGCTTCTCTCGGGTTCGAGCTCTTCAGCAACGAAAGAGCGAGGGAGCCGGACTTCGTCTTCAATGATCAGCTCGCTGACATCTGGGCCGCCACCAATGCCGGGCATTGCGGAACAGCCAAGAGAGGAGCAGCCGAGAGGGATGCTGGGCTATGAGAATAGGCTACGGGGTGAACTACAAGATCAACCTCAGGAAGGCCCACGAGGTCGGCAGGGCTATCCCGGTCATGATCAAGGCTATGACCCAGCCACCTATTCGGCACAGGGTCACGGGGCCATGACGGCTTGGCTTTTAGCGACGAAGAGAGAGAAGATTGGCGGCTCTCGTTGGAGGAAATGGTGGGAGAAGCTGAGCGAGACGGATGGCAGCGGTCGCTGGACGACATGGTGAATGAGGGATGGCGGGTGGTCAGCAATGGGTTGGCCCCAGCCCGTCGACAGGAGTAGCGTGGACCTGATCTTCCTGAGCATCCTGGGCCTGGACAGGCTCCTCCGGATCTTGATGAAGTACCTGTCTGGATGGGCATTTCCACGCAAGCGCCAGTGAGGCCACGGCTCGAAGGCCCTTGGGAGCCGCGACGCGGTTTTTCTGGAGCCTCAAGGTTCGAGAGGATTCAAGTGAGTCCGATGGAAGTTTTGAGATCTTTGAAGACCACCGAGGGTAGACGAAAAAACCTACCCGAAGGGTCTCTAGATGGCCGTAACACGGCCAGGGGGAGTGTGTGGTTCACGCACTTCCTCCATGAATCTTTCTAGAGTGCACAAATCAAGAAGTGTACCATGAAATGCAAACGGATGACAAGCACAAAACGATGTTTGGCTCAAGGATCAAAAAGGTGCGAAGGCGCCACACACCCATTTTCATAACCACAGAAACGACCTTCGAAGGCCCAGGTTTTGCGCTGTGCCCGAAACACAAATGTCTTATGTCTCTATGGCTTGCTATGGTTTGATTCGGCACAGGTTAGCGGTTAGCGAAGTAAGCCTGCGAATATAGACTTTGCGCATCAAGTATTAAGTATGACAACCCACTCCTGGCCTTAGAACAACCAGCCTAGAGACAACATTTCCATGAGCAAGCCCAGCCACGATCTTCCAATGGATCGATGATGTGGACATTCTTGGCGCCTACGTGCTTTAGCAGCAGGAGATGGCATAAACCAATGGCGCCAGCCCCCAAGATGGCCACGTCACCATCCAAGATCGACAGGATGGATTTCTCGGCCAGCTTCAGCCTCTTTGCGCCAACAATGCGAGGGCGAGGTTTTGAAACATGCAGGGGTTCCAGTCAACAGCTTTGACTCAAGACGCTTTCCAAGCAGCGTGTGAAGGGCCACAGACAAAGGCTCGGTCATCATAGCCAGCTCCATCGGAATGCTGGCAGGTAGCCGCACAAGCTGCAAGCTGCTGACACAAACCTTGCCCGAACTCATTTCTCGTGGTTCTCGTTGCAAACACTAGCGCCAGCTAGGCTCCCTCTCCCACATCTGGTAATTAACCTCTCTGAGACTGAGCAGACCTTTAGCTCAAAGAGCAAAACCAACGACTGTGTCCAAAAGCTAGCTTGCTGGATTTCCACAAGGAAGCGGTGAGACTCCTGAGGCCCAGTCTCCCATCGTACTGGATAACAAACATCGCCTCCTCCACCCTAACGTGTGCGAAAAATAGATTAAATACTGTAGCCTACAGCAAAAAACGAACTCGTAGTGCTTGCACCCCCAGGCCGTGCCCCAGGTAGTTCTAACTGATCCCGTTCGAGTTCGAGTTCAAGTTCGAGTTCGATGCGCGAGATTGCGTGGATCGAGCGAGAGGGGGGTGGACCAGTTCGAGTTCGAGTTCGAGATCGAGTTCGGATCGACACACAATTATCGAGCCGGGGGGGGTGGACCGGTTCGAGTTCGAGTTCGAGTTCGGATCGACACA